AAGATATACTCACTATATTGAGAGTTATAAGTATTAAATCTATAAAGACTTTAAACAAGTACAAAAAGGTCACGTGGTCGGTCAAATTAACTGAGCCTGTATTGAAAGAGTTAATGAACTTCAGTAAGAAAATTAAGATTTCAGGTTTTTCAGAGAGTAGAACTTGAAAACATTTTCCAACTAGAGGCCAAGACCGAATAGTACTTACTTTAATATCATTTTTAGGCGAAATATTTCTAGATTTTTTACAGTTTCCTCCTGATTAGGAACCCTTGATGCCAAACATTTCAATGATTTAACTATTCCTGATAGAGCATCATTTTTTGATTCATTTTTAGCTTCCTTTTTAAGTTCTTCATCAGTCAGGTTGTCCAAGAAAGCAGGAATTACTTCAACAATGGGCATAAAGTACTTTTCAATGGTGTAGACTGTTAACATTTCAAAACACAGTCCAAAAGGTCTGGAAAGAAAAAAAGTTGCTTACCACAATAAACATATAAATACACAGACACAAATAAACGTTGTACACACACACACACACACACATAGTTTATTACTTTGAAACTTGTTCAATTACAAAATACACCAAACACATTATTGATGAGTTTTAATTATAATCATATTAAATTTAATGTATGTATCAGTATTTAATTAAGTTTTATTGTTTTTGAATTTTATTATCCCATGGTGAAAAACTGAGTAGGAGCACGCAAAAGAGATTTTTTTCAGTTTGATTTGATTTCAGTTATGAAAATACTTAAATTCGTGGTTTCAATATGAAATAACCTCGATTGTGGGTCTGAAATGATTTTCATGCAGTTTGGTTAATATTTTAACTGTGAGAAAGAAAACAATCAGGGGATATCAGTGACATTAGGTTTCTAATAACATTTTTATGATTATTGTATAAAAAGAACTGGATTTGTCATACTATTTGTGTGCCAAAGTTCACTCATGCATATAATTGCAGAACAAACTTTATTTATTGTGTGTATAAATGCATAAATAAGAAGCTCTCTCTCTACCATATTAACTTCTTGTTTTCTACTGTCTAGGGTTGGTTAGTTGATCTTATCAACAGATTTGGAACTTTAAATGGATTCAATATTCTCTTAGAAAGGTTTCAGAGTGGGCCAGTACTTTCTATTCCTGTTATTGCAGCACTAATAAAGTAAGTATTATTCTGGCTTTGTTTCATTTGGTGAACTATGGACTTTAGACTTGTATCTGGACTTTATTTGTGATGTGCTAAAACTATCATGTCAAACATTTCTCATTTAATACAGTTGCATTTTCTAAAATTAGAAACTGTTTTTGCTTATAATAGTGTACTATAGCAAAATTTGCATTGTTTTCCTAACATTTGCTTTTATCAGTTTTGTAATTCTTTGATTACTTTTTAGAATTAATTGATTAATAAAATTAACTTTGTATAGATTTACCTAAAACTCTTAACTAATTAAATAGGAGTAGAATACATATATTAAATTAAATATGATTATAATTAAAATTCCATCTACAATTATAATGTGCTATAACAAAGTTTGCATAATTTTCCTAACATCTTCTTTTACCACTTTTGTAACTCCTTTTGATTACTCTTTAGAATTAATTAATTAATAAAATTAAAATATTTTTGTAGAATCTTATAGATTTATCTAAAACTTAAATAATTGGCCTAGTAAGATGCTTGACAGGGTTCGAATTCCTATCACCAAACATACTTGCCTTTTCAGCCAAGGAGGCAGTATAATGTGACAGTCAATCTCACCATTCATTGGTAAAAGAGTAGCCCAAGAGTTGGTTGTGGATGGTGTTGACTAGCTGCCTTCCTTCTAGTCTAACACTGTTAAATTAGGGATGGCTAATGCAGATAGCCCTCAAGTAGCTTTGTGCGCGGACATCATTAGGAATTTACCTTAGTTTGAAGTACCCACATTCATCTTTCACTTGGGCTTCAACTCAACTGTTACCTTAGGCAACATATGGTTTCTTTATGTTGTGTCGGCACATTAACTTCATGCCTATAGCTCTGGAGTGTAATCTTAAAACTCCTTAGTTCTCTAACAAACATTAAAAAGCTTTTAGAAGAAAATGTATGTCTTGTAATGAAGAGTAAAAATATCACATTGATGAAACTTAGTTAAAGAAGTATTGCCACATGGCCTAAAGTATCATTTATTGTTAAAAAATGTTTGTTGAGAAGTCAGTGGAAAAACTGTTAACTATCGCATTTATAGAGAAAATTATCTATTTTAGGTCAAAATATAAGGTTATAGGGAGAGCTTTAAAATTCATGGATTACAGAGCAATACATGGTTAGTGGAGGGCTGTCATTTTGGCAAAATAATTTTCCTTCATCTAACGCATATTTTCAAAGAAATGCTGTTAAATTGAGTTCATGAAGCTCACTTACTCATAACAGTGAAAAAATTATTGTCTTAGATCATTCATCACATTTTGCCTTCCAATTCTGTTTGTCTTTTACTGAAGAAGATTTTAATAAAGCTAATAATTTAGAGACTTGTATAATAATAATAAGTACAAGCTTAAAAAAGTACAATCAAATAACGTAAGTCTTCATAAATATAATTTGATATATAACATTTATCTTGTATTTTAGCAAAGCTACTAAAGCTATCTACTGCCATCCCTTATTCTGAACTACTGACCAAAGGGAAGGCAGCCAGTCAGCAGCACTAATACTACCCATGCCAAGAGATTGACTGTCACTCTTATAATGCACTCACAGCTTAAAGTGCAGGAAATATTCTGCAGTATCACAAAAAATTCAAATTGGCTTACCAACTTCAAAATCCAGAGCTCTACCAAAGGGACAACCTGTGCCCTCCAATTAAAACTTTAAATTTAATACTCCTCAATATAAACAAATTTACATCTCTCAGACCAAAAAAATGACCAAATGAACAACATCAGGATGGACTTACCCTTGGAGTTCGTACATCTGGAGGCCGAGCATATAGCTCTGTATCCGGTAGTAATGACCCAGGAGGAACTGACTCTGATGATCTGGTGGCATTAAATGTGTGGAACCTGATTATCAGATGCAAAATGAAAAAAATCTTTAGTAGATTTATTAAAGTTAGAAACATCTTCTATGTGAAACCCTGTTCAGTGATAAGCACAAGACTTAAGTAACATGGGATTTTTAAGCAGTATTTTTTCCTTAAAAGTTACAACACTATATTTTATCCAAATACTGTTCTGTATTGAAACTCAACAAATCACATACAATAACAAGCAGAAAACGTAATCTGAGAGAAAATAGTTAAAAACCCTTTTTTATTAGTGCCTCTTCAAGCTTTAAATGTTAAGGAAAGACATTTACTGAAAAAAAAACTATTACAGTCTTGACGTAGTCATACAAAAATATCCAACTTTCACATTAGAAAATTTCAAGGTATTTTCCATGTAATACCCCTTATTTCTTTATTCATCTTTAGTTGTTTTTTGATATGTCATGTATTTTTAACAACTTCATTTCTCTGAATAATATCATTTGCTCAAATTACTTTTTTTGTAAACATTTTTGTGTATGTTATCAAAATAAAATCATTCCTATGTTTCAGCCTAATCTCTAAAATTTATATAATATCACACAAATTAAAAACCAAACACACTACTTCAGAAAGCACATGGATATTACTAAAACAAAATAATTATCTTCGTATATACCACCTACTTGCTGTTTGGACTGAGAGCTACAGCTAACATGTCCAAAAGTGGAAACCAGTCTTGGTTGAGCTTGGTGACACAAAGTTCTATCAGTCTCTCTGTGTTCTTCATTATGCACCTCTGTTAAAGGGAAAAAAATGACAGAAAAACTACATCTTTTCTTTCAACTTACATCAATTCATGGTACACCAAGAAGAAAGAACACTGCACACATTTCATCACAAACTAATTAAGACTCAAACCTAATACTTTGATAAATTGCAGCTAACTAATATTTAAAGTTTTTTGGTACAGAGCAAAGAGGCTTTTCTCTAATTTACCCTATTACACTGTATATAAACACCTGTGACCTTTAAAGATACAACCCCAAAATAAGTGTTTTAAAGAATCAAGTTAATTCAGTTATGATAAATGTGTTTATTCCTAGGATGAGTAAATCATAAAGAAAAAATCTGAAATTTACAATTGAGTATATATTACATGCTGAAAGAACTTTTATCATGTTAAAACCTTGATTCTTTTCTCACAAAAGTTTAGATACTAATCACAAATTCAAAAGATTTAAAAATTTGTTGCTTAGATAGTAATAAATATTGAAAGTAAATTGGATATAAACAGTGAGAAAAACACAAATCTTTCTACTATGTTGATTAATGCTTTCTGGATACAAGTTATAACCAATCCAACATAACATTTTTCTATTCAATACAAACAAAACAGTCCAAGTAAACACCAATAATCATTTGTCCTATCAGCAGAAATCTAGTAAGAAATTTTACTTAGGGCTTGTGAATCTAAAACTAATTAGAACAGCAATAACTGCATATCAAGTGGGTTAAAAGTTCAATAGCTATAAATGTCTAAGTGTTCATTCAGTCTTAAAAAATAACATAGAAGGCAGTTATGTTGAACTTTCAACAGTTGCATAGATAACAGAGTATTGCTGTAAAGAAACAGCCACCAGATATAAGAAAATTATTATTTTCATCAGAATGCACATAAATTAGTAAAAAAAAAGTGTAAAAACATTTGACATATCACAGAACAGCAAAAACCTATCCTAAAGTGTTATCCAAATAATATCATATCAGCTTTTTGTTATTAATGCTGATGACATAAAGAAATGTTGAAGAATTACAACACTGCTTCAACAGGTCAGCCTCTGGTTCCTTACCTTGAAAATAATAAGTTAATAAACACGTTACATACACTAGAAATACAACCAGAAGGTCATTTCTAATAAAGCTGCCACAATGTAAAAAGTTGAAAAGCTAATAATTGTTTACACAAACAATTCTCTCTCTCAGTACTACTTTCCCCTTGTAGACAAAAGTAACTTTGAAAAAAACATGTGTCAACAAGTTACTAAAGGACTTTCATGATTCATGATTTTATAATTAAAGCAATATTATGAAGTTATATTCTACTGAATTAGTTAGGGATTGTTTGTGAAATTGTTTAATTTTGAAAATTAAATTTATAGTTTTAAAATATATATATACACATAACTTAAAATTCGGATCAATTCTTAGCTTTATTTGCACAAATCATAAAAAGGTCAGATCAGAATGAATCTGGTCAAGCTTGGTTTACTAAGTATGAAATTTCTTCCCAAATAGTTTATCTTTACATAATTTTTTAACTAAAGTAAATTTTCAAGTGCACTAAAAAAAGTATCTAATTTATCTTATAGTTTTCCTTACAATTTCTCAGAGATACAATGTGAAATACTAAAGTGTATGTAGTTCCTTTTTTCAAAAAGAGAGGTTCTAATATATGTTAAAAAATCATTCATTGTTACTAACCTATATCATAACAGTTTAAGTTATATGCTTTTTTCCTCATCAATACACATTTCATGTTATGACAAGTGAGCTTGTCAAAACATGTTTCATAGTTTTACCAACATTTTAAATTTTGTTTTAACAGTTTTAAATATTTCATCTTATTTGATGTGATATTTCAGATATTAAATTATAGTCAAAATCTTGCTTTCAGGCTAGCATAAGAGTTAAAATTTGTTTTCCGACTTCACAATTTAACAGTTATTAGGTAATTTCAAAAATTATAAACAATAGAGCGTGTGTAAAGTTATGAAAAAACAGTTGGTAAAAATGTTAATTAAACAAAAACAAAACTTGGCAGAAAACCCTTCGAAAAGTGTTAAATATAAATCAGAAAATTCTGTTAATACTGTAGCGGTGTTAAAAAAAGAGAGAGAATAGCAACTGAAGAAAACTTAAATCATAAGAAGCAATGTATTTATTTCTTAAACATGTTATAAAATGGTACTCACCTCTGGAATAACTATCTTCCATACTTCCTGTATATAAATATATTTACTAACATATACAAAATTTTCATGTGCTTCCAAGCACTTTTACCTGTTCATGTTTTTCATGTTCTCATGTACATGTAATGAACACTATCACTTCTACATGACCACTCAATCAGATCAACTTATATCAATCTAACCACAAAATCCCAAATCCATTTAACAACTGTTGGTCATCAATTGTACCTCTTCAAACAGCTATGGCCAAGGGAAAGAAGAAAAAGAGCAACCTGAGAAATAAGATATTAAAAAAAAACTAGGTTCATGTTTGAGGCAATGATTTTCCACCAGTACATTTCTGAACCAAGAGAAAATGTGGACCACTGCAGTACAGACAAAGTAATCTACTTAATTTAGGGTTATCTACTGATTTCATGCAACACAGGAAACTACAGCTACCACTCTAATGTTAGTGTTCATAGATACAAATACTCAGGTTAGACCTATATATATATATAAAAAATGAATCATAATTTTTGTTAAATAAAGATTTACTCCTGTCAGCCTGTCCATAATGCTATATAAGAAAGCAAACATTCTATACCTCTCTCATAACTGTATCTTTACTTACAACAATTTTTTTTGCTGGATACCAGATTTTTGAACACATTGAATTATTTATTTCAAAAAAGAATTTTTTTCAATTATACAGAAAGAGGTTAATGTACTATATATCCATTAGGTTAATTTAATAACACATTTCTTGATATTATTGAATTGAAAAAAAATTCCATTCACTTCTAGGTAATTTTCAAACTTCTGAAGTGCACCCAGAAGACAAGATGGTAAGGTTTTTCGTATATATGTGCGTGTGTGGATTTGCAGTGCAAGCCCAGCATCTGTTATTCTTATTTTATTTTATTTTTTGGGTGTATGAACAAAACCTCTCCAGGAACACACATCTTTTGGAAAACCTGAATAACTATCATCAGCTCCATTCTGAGACAGGATGACCATGAAGCATGTATTTAAGAATAACTCCAAAGAGCTGGCACTGAAATTTGAAAGTCAATTCACCAAAGACATAGGTGAAACATAAACCACAGAATACATATGGAAAGAGAATTCAATTAAACTATATAAACTTTGCTACAGTCAATTAAACCTGAAATAGTAAAAGTGGATTCATGAGAATGCTATCTGATTATAAAGTATTAAAATAGACAATTTACTTGATAATCCAGTTATATTCCTTAAAACAGCACAAACCGCCAGACAAAACTTAATCATTTACCCTAACATGTTTAAGGAACTTCAGTAAACTCGGAGGTCTAACTAATGACTAATAGAAAGCATGAAACAGTATCATTTGCTTCTAGGTTTATTCATTTAACATAATGGACGTGGTATATTTTAATGTGAAACTGAATGTTACAAGGATGACTGGCAAAGAACAAAGTAGGGGAAAAACAATGGTAGGTGGGAATTGAAGTCCAGTCGGTATTTCGCATGTATAACTAGTAGTAAGTTGTAACTGTGTTAAAAAGGTGAGAAATAACTAATAGTTTCCCTCAAATATTTATGTTTTAAACATGAACTAGAATTTAAAAATAAAGTTCTATCGAGTAGAGATTTATCTCAATCAGTGAAATATTTGATGTAAATAAACAAACCAGAATAACAATTGCAAACAAAATCTTTCAATGCTTTTGTGCATTCTGAGCTTAGAAATTATCACTAGTTTCTTATTCAAATTTTACCATTGTGAGTAATGTGCAGTCAGTGTTTGTTTAATGTTTTTGTACTGGTGAAAAACAACAATGAAACTCACGTGAATCTCAAATTTCCATCCACTCATTGCTTCATCTGTTAGTATTTTTGTGAAAGATACTGTAAGACCATCTCTGAAAAATCTCTGACATGATTCACTCCTTGTATCTAAACCTGTAAATTTTTTAAAATAAAATTATTAGAATAAACCTTCCTTTTGAAGCCAAAAAATAATTTCAAATATTTTTAGAAGTTAATACATTACTTTAAGGGCCAATGACAAAATTAATTATTTGTTTTAATCTTTGATATACATTTTTGTGACAAAACAATGCAAAAATTTGTCAACAAAGTTCTGCCCAGCTCATTCCTTGTTTTACTAATTGAAAATTTAGTATTTAGCTGCATGGCTTACTATTTAAAAATCATATGAAATATTTAGTAAATTTTAATAAATGTGACCAAAAATTATAAATAAAAATGCATGGGATTTATAAAATTAAGTATCTCTTGATCAGCTATTTAACTGATTCAGTAATGACTGAACTCTAAATGTGTAGAATACTATAATTGTAGTATGATAATTGATTGCCTATATTATCACATCCTGCATTCACGGTATAAAATTTTCCATTTAACCTCTCTTATGGATGGCAATCAAGATAACTGATGCACATCCTTTCCATTGGTATAATAGGTTAAAGAAAGGAGATAATTTTTAAGGAGCATAATCACACTCCTTCACATTTCTTATCTTTGTCCAAGGAGCACAAATAACAGCACTCCTTAAAATTCCAAGAGTGGATTATAAAAAATGAAAATACCATAAAATCAGCAAAGCAAATATGAGGAATTTAATTTACTTTGATCATGTAGCAAACTTACTTTCAAGCCAATGTGATTTGATGACAAGTGTGCAAATCAATGTACTTTAAGACAAATTGGAGATCAAGACTGCTCTAATTGGTCAACAGAAAGCATTCAACTAGAATACACCCAATCAGTACTGGTCTTACATGAACTTTCACCATGAAAGAGCGGGTGTAACATACAGCTTATTTTGTTATGAAGTGTAGCCTACACGAGACCAACCAATATCATACATACATACACAGGATTTTCCAGTTCGGTTATTTTTGTGCAATGTTATAACGTTTGGTAGCACTGGACAGAAAGATGTATTTTGTGTGTGAATTGATTTTGGCAAACAAAATAAAAAATTAGAAATGTCATAGATGAATACTATGAAAAGAATTTTTCTTCTGAGGAGAGCAATTTGCTCTCCTTGTTAATTTAGGGAGAGCAATTTATAGTTCTCCTTATATTTATTAAAATGAAGGACTAAATAAACAGCTAGTATAATCTTACCATAACATAATAGAAATTACATTTCAGGTAATCATTTAAACTTATTTCCATGCAGTGCATAATTTCACTTAAAGTACATGTAACTATACTTCACTCATTGCCACATCTAATTATATTGTTATGACAGAGGAAGTCATGTAACGCTGCTGGTGCGTTTGGCGCTCGTAGCGTGCGTGATGTTTCTCGAATGATCGGGGAAGTCCGAGATGCCCTTTTCGTTAGTATATAAGCCTGGCAGTGAAAGCCAGCAGTGTTAATGAAGAGAGAGCAGTAGTTACTTTGAGTCCCGTGTAATTTATGATTCTGTTAGTTTTGAGCTAGTGAGCTGTAAAGTGTGTGTTTTGCACTTGTCAAGAGCGAAGTCATTAAGATTGTTAATCACTGTGATTTATAGCATGTATTATAAAAGTTGTTAAGTTTAAAGTGATAAGAAACGTACTGATTGCGGAACTGTGTACTAAAAGTTTATATCGAGAAGGAATAAACTGATTTAATCAAGAAAGGACTTGTATCGTTGAAGATCCTCGGGAAGAATTTTACCGGAAACAAACAAACAAGCAGATACATAACAATATTATAAAATAAAATAAGAACTGTAGTATTTAAGTCTTTACTACAGTAGAACCTTGACATTAAAGGTACCCTTCCAACTGCATTCAAATGCCCTCTATAGCAATGTGCCCTTAATATCTAAAATGAGCCACATAAAGCTGGATTCCATATTGACCATACAAAATTTCTAAATTTTAAGGTCCCCCATTTTTTTGGTGTATGCAGGACACAGGTGTTTGTGAGTTGCACATTGTCATGAGATAGTGTTGTCAACAGGAGGTCTCAGAGGTGGATTAGCTGTGCCCTTTTTCATTATTACTGGTTACAAAGTTTCAAAGTACTTCTCTTCAGAGTTTGAACTGTTAAACATTACACATTTATTTTCTGTGTTTATTTTACTGTCGATGACTGAAGTAGAAATCCGCTGAAAATAAAGCAACAAGTCACCGCTTGTGTCATTAGACAGTTTGTGTGACACTAATACAATACTCTTGAAAGCAACAAAGCACGTGCATAGAAATAAGCCAACTTGACTCCTGCTCTGAGAACATGATGTGATATTTATCAGCTTATGTATCCTAGTGTTTACAATGAAAATTCCCCAGAGTAATAAGACTGCACTTGAATTTATGAAAACGTTTATTACAGTATATGATTTGGAGTCCATCCAATAAACATTGCAAGTGTTTGAATATTGGTCATCTTTCTGGGATGTTTGGAATTTGGCAATATATTGTACAGACATACAAAGATAACTGCCTGCTTTATCAAGTGCCCCTATAAAGAACAAGACTAAAGACACTGCCCTTAATCCAGAATACTAAGGTGTCCATTATTGCAAAACATATCCCACTTAAACTAAAGCAGAGAGTTAACAAAAAGCCACTCAGTGTAAATGTATAAATACAATGTTATCATACCATTAAGCAACATGCATGTGTCAAGTAACAATACAAAAGACATCTCAAAACATTTTACACAACATATACACTCTACCACTTATTCAATTTGTCTTTGTCCAAGATCACCAGTATAATTCAGTAACAGTTGGTAAATCAAATAGATTAGACTTCACATTAATTTTTTAGGTTTATGTATTATTGCTTCATACTACTTACACCACAGCCTCAATTATTAAACCCTTCAAAACTTCAGTTCTCATATGTCATGTGTAAAATTTTTCCACAAAAACTTATGAATTCCAAAGTAACATTAATAAAATGTTGAAAATTATCAGAAGTTCAAATTTTGAATCACTGTTCTTCTTCACACATGCGAATTATATAAATCCAATCATCACTATGTAATACCACAATAACAGTGGTTCAAATATAAAGCTGGGCTATTAGTGAACTGTGATAATCGATTAATTGTCAGGTTCATTAATCTATTACATTCAATTAATTGATTATCATCATAATAATCCAAAATTCTAATTTCAATCAGCTGATTATTTTCATGTGGCATTAATCACTGTAATTGATGCTGACAGATAATTGATTATATTGATTAAACAAGTTAATTGTCGAGCTCTACTTATATATATTCTGAAGAACTGTACTTGTATGTAAGTTTGAATCTTTGTCAACTTTTGTGTAAATTTAAATAGTAAACCTGTGACTTTTTAACAAACCTGCAAGTAATATTAGTTTCTCAAACTGCTTACTTGAACAAAATATCTTTGGTATTGTTATCCTTGATAATTATGACACCAATGATTTACAACTGCTTTTTGAAGCTTTATTGGTTACATTCATTGTACATTACCAAGATATTTTTAAGAGCAGAATATATATATATATGTGTATGTGTGTGTGTGTGTGTTAATGCTACCCAAAGCCACTAATTACCAAACTGAATGTAATCTACGTGCAGACCACACTCTGGCAAGCAGGTTACAGTAGAACAAGACACTTTCTGGCATCTTGCAGATTCTATAATATGCTGTATGGCAAGTTATTATTAATGGAATGGTTGATCCAATCCCGTATTAAGTGGAGATCCTAATAAAGATACTAGTCAGTGTAAATGTATAAATACAATGCTATCATACCATCAAGCAGCTTGCATGTGTCAAGTAACAATGTATAAACACACTATCATACATGCTCCCAGCTTTATGGTATATGCTTACTTGAGCTATAATATTTTTTTAAAGATACACAGGATATTAAGATTTGAGCTAAATACAAATATTATTTTTGAAAATGTATTATCCATCTACTAGTTTCACCACAAAATCCTATTTCATCCTGATTCCTATGATAAATATTTTAAGTGCAATTAAATAACTGCAATAAAAATATACTTTTAACAAAACTCATAACACATTTTGTCATTAACATACCTTTTTTACAAAGGTCAATTGAAGCATCTAAAAGTATTTCTAATTCTCCTTTTGGTAACACAGGAACAACCCACCGAGGCCTGTTTATCATCTCATCCAGTCTAGCTAACTCAGCATGGGGAAAATCTGGTTCTTGACCTTCAAGCTGTTTTTGGTTGTCTGCGTCTTGCTCTTTATTCGATTCATTTTCATCTGGTGGCTAAAGACAGGTTAAACAGATTCAAATAAATGTACAAACTTAACTGAGAGTACCAATTGTGTTCCCTAAATGTGACTGTGGTCAATGTTTTACCTAGTCTCATTGACACTATTTAGTAAGAAATTAAGAAAATTTCATAAAATAGTACAGTAAATTACTTACAAAATCAATATTTCACATTTTTAGTAAGCTTACAAAAACTGCACATTACTCTAAATTTTTGTTAAAGCACTATACTTTTCTTACAACTACAATTTTATTTTATAAAATGTTGCTTAATATTCCCACACGTCTTTCAAAGCTTTTAAAACCTATTTGTGATGACCTAAAAAAATTATTTAAAAATTTGCAATACAGATCACACTTAAAATAAAGCAAAGAGTTAACAAAAAGCAAATTTCCATACGACTTTCACTACTTAACTGTACTTTTTCCAAACTGTTAATTTAGAGGAAATTTTGCCTTCTAAAACAGTAATATTAACATTGTTTTATGTTAAATAAAAATGTCTCTAAAGAACTGGTAAAAGCAATTACACATGAGCCAGTCAACTATAGCATATTTAAAAAAATTAAATATTAGAAACTCTTGTCTGTTTGATGACCTGTTTTTATCAACATATTTTATTTAAGCAAGTTTTGAATTATAAAGTTATAAACTTACTTTGATGGGAACCAGTATTCATGCACATTGTAACTAAATACCAACATATTTTTTTTAGCATTAGCAAAGAGCTTAGTTATGGTTCACCTATCTTTTATGTATTGTCTTAAGTGAAAAAACATTATAACACACAAATTAAAAATACTCACTGGATTGGAATTGGATTCTGTAGTAGTCTGGGGTAACTGAATGGGATTATTATCTTGAGGAGAATCTCCCCAACCTCCTTGGTCCTCTTGCATGACTAGGGTCATGCTAGTTTATAATTTAGGCAAATTTACAAGTTGTTGTCAGAGAAGTAATTCAGACAGTTGAATATAACACATGTACAAAAGGTCCAAGAAATAGCACCACTTTCAATAAAGACAGACAGTGCTAGAAAGAAATATCAACATAGTTTTGGTTTTGTGTGATAATTCAAGAGAAGCTTAGCATATATATCACAAATCATTAGATAAAATTACTCATTACACAATATTAATAATACATAATGAAGTTATTTCTTGTAAATTTAATGATCTAAGCAACATCAACAAACTACCAATTAATAAAAGGATCTAAAGATAAACTTTTATGGAATGCAAGTTCATTGTGCATCAGTTTCACTACCTCACTTGTCCCTGCAACAATGTAAACAAACTCTTACTACTATATTTGTTTAGGCTACAGTATAAAGTTATTGCTTTTACATTCTCGGCATAGTTTGTTTAGAGCTAACAAAATTAATCTGTATATCAATCTTTCATAAATATACACTTCTAAAGTTTCATGTTTTTATATATATATAGGGCAAGTCCTGTATTATCAAGTTCAATGTGTCTGTATAAGATATACTGATCAAGATACATGTATAGAAATTCTTAACTTAATCATTTCTCATATCTCAATTTACAAATAATATTATTTGCTACATGTTGTTCACATACGTTTAGTGAAATATCCTGTTTCTCAGTTAACTTTTCATAAAGTAGGAACTTACAAAAACATCTAAGAATATAGTACACTACAATACACCAGTTGTTTGACTTATCATAGTTTTTTTAAAAATCTTGTATAATATATGTATTTCTGCTTTGATTCTTAGGAAAATAAAAAAAAACAACTATTTTGCTGAAGCTGAATAAGGATTGTGCATATATGTAAATATGGATATAATAGAACAATGAAAAAATGTTTTGGTTTCAAAGTTAAAATTTAAAACAAGTATAATTAAGGTTATGACTACACACTAGAGGTGTTCTTAGCACATGCTCTCCTCTGTCCAATTTTGTAGTCCTGTCACAGCACATTTGTCAGTGTGCAGTACAAGTAGCATGACTTATAATTAAATACATTTATCAGTAAGACAGAAACACATAAACTGGACACTATTACCCAAGAAAAAAACTACAGTGAAAACCATATTTAGCCATTATAGGATTTACAGAACTTAACTTCAGCCATGAAAAATATTAAGAATGGAGGCACCACAGTCACTCTTTCTCACACACCAGAAACAGCAAGATCTGTAATCAGTCTACTTTCAGAAAAGGTTGTGGTAAAACAACTCAGACAAGGCTATTAGCACTAATTTAGCTTTTGCATGGATAAATTCTCCAAATAGAGAATATCAGTTTTCATGAAACCTTTCAAGCTCTGAATCCAGACTGGTAACTAAAAGCTGAATGTGCTCAACAACAATAGGGTATCCTCAAGAGCACATGATACAACACCTCTCTATAACCAATCTTTACTCATGGTTGGGTCACAAACAAAGACAACAATAAAGAACGAGCTTCTGAGAAATAAATTCATACTATAACACCTATATCTACCACACAGTAGTCTAATTCTGTAACTATCATATATTGGTTTAAGTATTCTGTATCTATCATACAGTGGTTTAAATATTCTGTAATTACAATGTAGTAGAAATTGTTTCATGGTTTGCTATGGGTGCTTAAAAATCTTATGATTTTAACGTTTCTTTTGATACAAGTGATATATTCCTATCAAACAGAATTGAAAATTTACCATTTCTTCAGAACTATCTAATCACTTTTCTTTCCACCAAGTTATATACTCAAGCAGTTGTCCTAAACTCTCCTGTAATTAACATGTAAGTTTATTTATTCTATATTACAAACATTAATATGCATTAATATTTGTAAATAATTTGAAGAGCAAGAATGAAATGTGATATATAGTTATGTATACATATACATGCATATATTTAGAAATGTAATTACTCAGCTACATAAAGTCATTATAGCATTTTAAAGCTATGTAGTTATTTACATTATATTTTTAAAATCACACAAAAAATATTAAATCTTTCCAGAATGCTCAGTTTTTGCCCTAATTCAAACCATCAGTTATGACCTGAGTAGATGCTAAAGACTCTGCACAGACCAAGACTTGTACATGTATGTCTAGTTCATCCAAATCATGCAAAGCTGGTGCTTTAAAACTTAGCTACATGTACTAGTGATTCAAGCACCAATTAAATACATACACATACACACACATGGCATAGATCATAAATTATTTTCCATTTGTTGGTGATGCTAAGCTGCTTAGAAAAGCTGACCAAAAATAACTGCTTTAATTGAAGCTAAATTAACTGAATCATTAACTACTTGGGGAATATATATATAAATATATAAAACATATTTCTTTCACACAATAACAGGGGAAAAGAACACTAATACACCCATAGCAGAAGTAAAATTAGACTATAAATAATAAGAGTTGAAACAGTAAAATATATCTGAAGAGGTAGATATTGAGACACACTGTCCAACTAAAAATATATATTGTCCTGTCAAAAAGAGGAAAGCTGTGAGCTTGATCTTCTGTACCTACTCCGGACTTGAATAACATTTCTACATTCATTCTTTATGCATGGTTGGCTCAAATCTAATAGATGTTGTAACCCCCAATGATGTGCTACTCCTACTTCTTCAAATACTTGCATAAACCTCATTGTATTATACTTCCTTCCATTTATATGATAGATTTAATATTTTTTATATATGTATACTCACTTTATTTACATATGTCCAGATTTAATTAATGCAAATCCTGTATCTATTGTAATTACAAATAAACTTTTAACATAAATATTTTCAAGTGTTTACTAGTTTTTTTTTCAAGAAAATATCTATAGTACACACATATACAATCTCTAACTCTAGAATATAATTTCTTATTACTCAATTTCTTTTCTACAGATACACTATAAGCATTATGGTACAATAAAGTACAGTTATAAAATAGGCAAACATACTTTATACTTTACCAACAATATAGAATATAATCCATATCATTCACATACAAAAAAGTGTGTTATTTTACTACACTGGGATATTTCACTGACTATGAATGAACCAGACTCTATAGCTCAAAAGTCTGTAATAAGGGCATGACAGTGAGAACCAATATTGTGTCAAAGTTGAGCAGGTAATCTCTGTACATATGCAACAAACCTTAAAAGCAAAACACTAGAAAAAAACAAAACAAAGTGTCAACATGCTGTGTAGCTCATCATGCACTTTGCAATACACTGCTATCCTTCTTTGTAAAAAGGAGACCTACAACTGCGTACAGTATACCATATAATGTCTCATCAGTCTTGTTAAGTTCAAAGTTCTTACAACAGAACCAGAAACCCTAAATTACTCTTTTGAATACTGATAAGCATTCAAAGGACTTTAATTTTCTTTTTTAAAATCTCCAATACATACTCCTCTCACCAAGGAGGCAAATCCTTTCTAAATCTCCATATCCCAACTGCATAGCTTTATACTTTTTAGTATTAGAGTTGGGCAATTAGTGGTATTTGGTAAATGATTAATCAATGGAAGCATGGTCAAAAACTCTTGAAGAACTTGGTATAACATGAAAATTATTTTCTAAAACCATGCTAAGACAACTTTTCACAAAACAAACATTATAATGAATCCGGAGTCTCTCAGAAGTTCCTAGACTTTTCATTTTCAAAAATAGGGTTGAAAATGTCAATCTTAAAATCATCAAAAATTGCCTTGGTATTAAAAACTTTTATTAAACACCAAAGTTTCCATTAATATTTGTTTGGTTCCTTTCAGGTTTCAGAATAAATCTCACTTGCTAAAGTGAATAAATAACACCCAGCACAGTTTAAGAAGTGTTCATGTCTCACAATTTACTAGTTGTTGTTAAGACTAATTGCTTCAGATGAAGACACTCCTGACAATATTGATTTTTCGTAAGCACCCAATACTTTATCATACAAAAATGTTAATTGAAATTATTATGATGTAGGTGAAAATTTTTTTTAAAGTGGAATTAAAATTGGCTCAGAGATAGGAAAAAGATGTGGTAACAAATGGCATCCAATTTAGGTTAAAAGAATATAACTTTGGGGATCTTGATCATTAGTTATACAAATATTAGAAAAAGCAGCATAGGCCATAAGTTATGTTTTGCAGATGATACTAAACTGCTGAGAAAAGTTGAGTATTTGGAGAATAGTTTCTAGTAATGAATAGCATAAAGTCATGCCATTAACACAGTAAATATAAACAGTGAGTTACAAAGGCCTATGAGGTTCTGGAGTAAGAATTTTTATACAATCTTGGCTTAACCCTACCAATGCTATTTAAGTATAAAAATACACTAAATCCTACAATAAATAAAATAAGGGGACTCAAAGATTGCTGCACTGGCCCTGTTCACAGGTGGACCTTTCATGAGTAGCAAATATAAATTAGGTAAGAGCAAGTTTTAAAAGTGTCAATTTTGTAAATCCACAAGTGGACTTTCCAGAAGTTGGGACTTAATTGAGTAAGGAGGTCTGCTGGGGCAGTTGTCCCAGATGTATCACCTACATGTGCACTACTACATATAAATAACTTTGCTATTGAGTGATCATGTTTTACATCTTAAACTCCTGTAAAGCCAGCCTTCACTACTGCTTATGGCAACACATTCTATATATCAGTCACCTCATTAGAAAAATAAAACTGTCTTAACTTGAGTCAAGCCTGTCTTTTCCAAATATTAATCTCATGTACTCTCATTATTCACAGAATATAGCACAAATAAATTGGATTCCTTTATTCTAATGAACCCACCTACCCGGGTAACTTGGTAAATTTCTATAAGATCACCTTTTACCCTTCTTAGAGATTTTAACATAATTCTTATAACTTTCCATCCCCAGAATCACTGTTGTAGCTCTCCTCTGAACTATTTCCAACAAGTCAATATCATTTCATAGATAAGGAGACAACAACTGTACATACTACATAATACTCCATGTCAGGCCTAACCAGTGTTTATATATAATTAATATCTATAAATACACAATAAAATAATATTAGTATTAACTTATAATCACAGTAAGCTACGTG